TGAGAACACTAAGTAATCATGATAGCCTCATTGATTAAGGTTTTCTATGAAAGTATGGGTTGCAAGTTCACATCTCATTGAAAGGTACTTCTTTATTCCAGTTTTCTACAGTTTAAAATTGATTGATTTTTCAAAAGTGTGAAAAAATATATGCAGAAAAATTACTCATGATAATTGCAAATGTGAAAATGCATGATCTTTCATAATATGCAAAAGATCAATTTTTTATTTTTTTATTTTTTGATTATTTATTTCAGCAATTTTTAACCTTTTTGGACTATTTAAAAACAAGTTGGGTGGTCAATCATTAGAATATTTTACTAACAAGTAGATAATATTAAACATTTGTTATGATGCATTTATATAATTTATAATTTTGTTGTATGAAATCTTTTTCTTTTAAATCATAGTGGATCAAATTACTAGCCTCACAGTAACATTCTGAGCCAACACGTTCATGTGTTGTTCACAGCTCTGAATACATTGCTATTTTTCTTTTTAAATATGTTTGAAAATAATATTGTATGAAATCAGGTTCTATAACCTTGACATAACATTTTTTTATAACATATTGTATACTTTGCTTGTAAAAATTTCATCAGATGTGACATAGCTACTGCACAACATTAATATTTCAGCAACCATCATTTTAAAACTCTTAGTAGATGAACTATTTTGCAATTAAAATTAGGTAAATATTAATTAGAAAAATTTCTGGTCAGCCATTTAAATTATGTTACAAATTTTTACATACTTTCTCTAAATGACTGTTTTGACAGAATTTGAGTATATCATTCTTTGTTTCTTTATACCAAAAGGAATTGATAAACTAATAAATATTTTGTTGGCTGAAACCAACTTTAAACAAGACTATTTCAAGTGAAACAATGATTACTCATTTTCAGTATATTGTGGAACTACCATATTAATCCAAATTACAATTTGGATTTTTTTGATCAAAATAACAGATTTCTCCTTGAAAATTTTTCTGCTATTTAATTGTAGTGTTAACTGCTGATTATACAATTTGATAATACTACCAAGCAGTGTGCAGTTATTTTATATGTAAGCAAAATAATTTAAAAACAATTGAGGCATGTAAATTATTGTAAGCCTGCTTCCATGTAAATTAGTCCAGCTTTTACATAGGCATTAATAAAAGATTATTATCTCGCCTGGTTTACGTTTTGGTGTCCTTTAACATTGTTTCTTCCATCCCATTAAGCAGACAAAAATAGTCAACAAACTTTAAAATAGCATTATGTATCGTCATGTTTAAGGGGACACAATCTTGTTTTTTTTATTATCTCCCTTTGACTGATAAACGTGAATTTAGTATAAACTTTTAAGCTATCATATTTTGAACATTTAAACAATGAATATTATTCTGACTAGTTTATTTTTGATTAAAAAAGAAAAATGAGTATGAATCATTAAAAATAACACCAGAAATATTTTTCAACATCAAATTGAAATATAACGATTTCTAAATTTGATGTATGGGTGTATGTATGTGTGTTGCTTAAAAAAGGTAAAAAGCAATTACTTAAAACAACATATATATATTTTTGAACATAATTTCCTCCTTTGTAAATTCACATAACCAATCCTCCTCTATTAATCATATAGATTAAATATTATAAAATGCAGTCAGAAATTTTGTCATGCTATTGACTGATTTATATACCCCAATGTGCACACACCCACACAACTTTGTTTTTATATCCTTCACAAATGAAGAACATGATTCGAGATTCTAATTAAATAATTTATTTTTTAATTTGGGATCTTTTAGTTTGTTTTTTTTTCTTAACATCTAGAATTTTGACATCCCCATTGACTTTGGAATTATTTGATTTATGTAATCTGTTCCTATCAACATTCACTTTAAAAATACTGGAGCTTAATACTTTATAAAAATCTAAAAAGAAAACTTGTGTTTTCATGAGTTTCTAGTACCCCCATTTCAAATAACTATCATTAAAGTTGAAAATATTTTTATATAAGAGGATAATTTTTTGATTATAAGAGTTTGCAATTGCTTCTAATACAGTTCTAAAAATAGATATTTTTTAAAATTGGTTATATGATTATTGTGTGTTATTATATTATTTCAGTAAAGTTGTTGATTATATTGCAGTAAAAAGTTAACAGATTAAAACTGGAATTATTATAAGAGCAGAATCCTAGCTAAGTAAGTTTCTGTGTACTCCATGAATATTTTCTAAGTGAAGATTCTATAATAACTAATTCCAGAGCCATGAATTGTTAAACTCAGTTGACTGCAGATCACAGCCAAATGCAATCATAATTTTTTTTAACAGCTGCTGTCAGCAAACGTATTTTTTACCACTTCAAGTGAATCCTTAGATAAATGCTGCACTCATGAATATTCATCAATCATCTCTGTGGGAAACTGGTTAATCACATCTGCTCAATTTTGATCAGATCTCACTAGAACTATATCAACTGTGTGGCCATATTTGTCCATCATGAGCATGTTAAGTGTGATCAGTTGTCTCATTATGAACATCTCACTGGTGGCCTTGTTATTCAACCAAACCTCACTCCTAAGTACATTAGATACCAAGGTGATACACGCAATAGTCTGTATTCAAATGTATCTCCCTCATTTGCATTTTAGTGCTAGGTTGATTCCCTTCAGTAGAGCATGAAGCCCTGCCACATTGGATATGTTGCATATCTTTTGGTGGGTGTAGCCAGCACACATCCTCAATGGCCAATTCGTTTACCTCTACAACTAGGGAAATTGCATCCACCCACACATTCATTTCCTTTCTGTCTGTATACCACCCTCCCTGAGCAGGATCATGATCTTGCATTCTGCTGATGGTTTCTGTTATCATGTATTTTAGGGTAATATCATCTGCTTTATTATCCCAGTCCTATCTGACAGCTGTGGCTTGGCATTTGGAGAAGCCACCCACATACAGGAAAGTATGCCCATAGTTTTTACACAGATGAAAAAATGCACCTTCACATGATGATTTAGAGAATATCATTTTCTTGTTGCCAACACAGGCTGCCACCATGTCTGCCCCAACTTCAAATTCTAGTACTTGGGCACTATTTTGCAGGCTTTCTGGGTTTTTGCTCATCAGCCCAAATCTCGCCAGATCTTTTCTCACATTCTCAGTGAATGGCCACATCTTCAGCAATACATGTTGATGCTGATTTATAGGTTAACCCATCCTGTGACAGCATAAATTTAATCATGGATCTCATTAAAACTGCTATATTAAGGCCAAATTCCAACATTGTGTGATGATGCCTTTATCCTTTGACCACAACAATCTGGTGATTTTTCAGTATGTCCCTGCACATAGGCTTTCCTGAGGGTCAGGATGAATGGATATATTTGTACCTTGTCATCTCCATTCCCTTACTTTTTCTGCACCAATATCTGCTTAGGCTGTAAATGTATTGATGTACATATTTAATTCATAAAGGTTAATTACAGAACATACCTTTCTTTTCTTTGCTTGCATTACAGCCATAAGTAATATTAGCACTTTGGGAAGGCCAAGTTCTTCCCTGGGATATGGTAGGAGCCAGCTCTTATGCTTGCAGTTTGTCCATGTGCTCTGTTCTCAGTTGACTAGGCACTGGATATTCTGAAACTCTATTATCAGTTTCTCAGCATCATGACCACAGATTTATAACTGTAGAGTCCATATAGTTTGTACCTCATCAAATTATACAGAGAAGTCAAATCCTTCAATGTAGAGCACCTCCACTGCATTATGTGGATGCTACCTAACACTCTGATGGTATTGATCCAGAGTAGTAAATCAAAATCTACTGGCTTTACATATACTTCCAGCACATCAGTTTCAGTGGTGTTGCTTAATCCTGTATTGAACTTCTTGTCTGCTATCTTGGGATAAATAGCTAGTTCGTGCAAGCAGGTTGATCCCTGACATAAATAGAAAGGGAAACTTCAAATGGAGTCTCTGCAAAGGAATGAGAATGAACCAACAGACACTATTGGTGGAACACACAGTCTACTTTAGATTTCAGTTAAACACAAGTGCAATCTTTTCTCAACAACTGCTGGCACTTCCTGCCACTTCAGCTTACAATCAAATCATGCTGAAAACACAGCTCTTGTTCAATCAGCAGTGTCTAGCCAGTCAGTACTTAGGTGAGGCTCCACTTGGGAACACCCTATACTGTAAGCAATCTCCTACAATCTCAAGTATGTTTTGGCTTTAAATACTGTATAAAAGTTTGATAAGCCATGAAACCAAATCAATCAATCCTCCCACATTGAGTGAATCCTTAAATAAATGCTGAATTTATGAATACTCATCAGTTGATAGTAATATAAGGATTTGAATATTCGCACTTTTTGCATTGCAAATGGCTGCCTACATGCGAAGCGCATAAAGCATTATGCTTGTTTAGCTTCAGGTAAACAACTTTGAAATTTTTTCTTAAATTGGAAGATAAAATGTATATTCATTTCATTTTTGTTATTAATCCTTAAAATATTTTTCTTAGAAGAATCAGTACATTATTTTTACTTTGCAGTCTGTGTCTTTTCTGTTTGTATTCATTCATTCTTATTGATTTTAATTTTTAAATGTTCATGGACAACAAGTTCTCAGCATGGAAGAAAAGAAGAGACCACAAGAAACTTGATTCTCTCAGTAAAAAGTTGGAAAGAAAAGATTGGCATCATTCCATAAATTTTTCAGAACATTATTTTTGTTTGATTTTATTTTTTTTTAATGAAATTTTTCAGATAACATATTTTGGTGGGGGGGGGGGCTTTCTATAGTGTTGCATCTGTAGAAGGCAAGAGGAGGTTCTGACCAAAATGTATTTAAAAAAAATAAAGATGAAAACAATAGTCTGAAAATCTATGAAATGATGTAAACTAAAAGAAAGGCATCTGTAACATTGGTAATTGGGGTAAAGGATTTTGTAAAATAATGTCTGGAACTGAGTGATGATTTTTGCATATATTCTTCCAGATACACAAGAGAAAGTTTAAGAATATTCCACTAAATGAATATTTTGCACATTATAAAACGATAAAAAAATGCCTATCTGAAGAGATTCATGCCATTCTTTTGGCAGCATCGGTAAGTCAACTAAATCTGTAATTCCACCCCCAACTTCGTAGCACTTTAGTTTCTGAGGCCCACCATTTGCACCAAAACCCTCTGCTCACTGTCTTCCAGAATTCATTTATTTTCTTGCGGAGATCTTTTGGTGAACACTATCCTTTCAATTTCCAAGTAAAATTTTTTTAACTGTCATCTTCTCTTTTCACCTTGCGATCTAACAACTTCAATTCTAACTGTGACTTGTTGACAAAAATGTATTGCTTTATTTTTTATATTTCATGTGAGAAATTGGTAAAAGCTCACTTTGTTTAGATAGTTACTAATTTTAGCTTCAATAGCATTAGGCTGAAAAAGTGGAAAAAGTTATTTATCAAGCATTTTCAGCTATTTGTTTCGCCATTTTCAAGATCCAACATTGTAATGATAATTTAGTTATAGATGTTTCTATGGGTAAAATCTATCTACCAAGCTTAATTAAAATAAAACTAAATTTGAAAATGGAGTTAGGAAGATTGTGCTATTCCAGCCTTTCATGTGAGGAGAGATTGACTGTATGCATAGAAAATCAGTGTTTAAAATAAATGATTTTTATCTGGGCTTGAACACTGATTTCTGACAACAGAAATACACAAACATTTCACAAGTCATATCACTGGTATTTATTAAACTTAGCTTAGTGTGTCACAAGGCTAAACTACTGGAACAACCACTTAGTCTGCAAGACTAAATTTGCTAATCAGTGCTCAAGAATGAAGTGATCAAAGAGTGACTGCTTTTGGAATTAAAATCAACAGTAAATGAACTTCATTAAAATCATTTAGGAGGCATGGTGGAAGTAATGGTGGAAGGTAATGGATTGCAACTCTGATTGAAGAATTGGAAAGCCAAGTTCAAATTCTAGTCAAGTTCATTACATTCACTTACATGCTAATATTCTTGAGAAAATTATGAATCCAACTCTTCTCCCTGGTAAATTGTAGGACAGTGAATTCTATAGCCTTGAGTGGCAACCGGTCTAGGAGAAGGAAAACTCTGAATTCAAAACTGTATGTAGCTCTGGCGAAGCACATACTATACAGCTAAGGAAAGGATCATTCACATAGACTCAATGATCCCAATTACGGTTAACATCTTTTAAATCAAAATCACTGATTTACTACACTCCCACAAGCCAAAAAAAAGAAAGAATTATGATTAATTATTTAGTTTTTTCCCCTTTTATAGGAAAACAAAAATTTATGTAGATTTTTGGTAAAGAAGGTCAATTTTGATGCTGACCCCATTAATAGATATTTGGCAAGAACTGAACTCATTTTCAAAGAGTAGTAAGAACAGTATGAAACAAATTATATACTAGGATTGAAAATTATCAAAAAATGCCTGCATAATTTATGATGAATGACTCAGCATAACTTATAACAAATTGAATTGTATGTAAAATATAATATCCTTATTTTATGGTCGAGCAAATTGACTATTTCTATAATTTAGTTTGATAGTACAAGTTATTGAATATTACATCATATTGATTTACAATCACTGCAAATGCAAATAGTTTAATTTGATACAAGGCCACAAGATTTGGGTACCCAGTAATAATAGGACTCACTGCAGTAGTAATGGTTGCTAATCACTGCTCCATTAAAAGGAATCATGTATAACAATGCTAATTTTTCAAGAGAAATCATATTCATAAATAATAAACAAAATACTGGATTTCATAAAATTCTTTAATTTTTCTTCTTCATATGTCTATTTGAAAATTACAATCAACAGTTTTCAAAGGAAAAAAAAATTAATATTTAAAAATATTTCCTGACTTGACCAATTCATTTATAGTGATTATCAATGGATTAATACTTGTAATAGTCAACTAGTAATAACATTAGACTGCAAGTTTATTATGGGACTGATCATTTTTGTAACAGTGTTGATTCTTGTCAAAGAGGGATATTTTCTTATGTTGATGATGTGTATATGTGTGATACATTGTATAGTAGGGATATTATTGTGGTTGCATGGGGTTTTTTGAACAGGAGATTGTGTAGTGATATGTTTTGTTGGGGGTCTAAGAATCCCCTCAAAAGAGAGAAGAGACATGTCTTGACACTACAGCATCTTGTGGTTGAAGAGTGAAAGAAAAAAGTGGAGTTTTGTGCACTTTCCTTTTAATACTGCTTTATACAATGCCACCTAGTGGACATTAGGAAAAGTTTTTTGGTAGACAAGGTGGGGTAATCACACACTCAAATTTATGAGATTATTTCTAGATATTAGTCAATTGTTTATTCTTAATTTGGTAATAAAATAATAACTTTCTTAAATTAAAAGGTAGTCAAATATAATTATTTTTTTAAAAAAATTGATTTTAAAAGTATTAAGAGAGAATCTTCTGAAGATATTGTGCAACAGAAATTTCCCAAAAACCATTCCATTAATGGACCATTTTCATTTTTCTGTAAACAAGAAATGTCAACAAATTATCCATATTTATTCTCCTCAAGTTTTTGTTTTTAAATTTGTCTTATTCTGTGATTTAAAAAAAAATGATCAAACAATTTGAGGGAAAGATAAATCAGATGATGTAATTAGTAATATAAAAGTAATAATAATTTAGTTTTTCTTTTAACAATGACGAATTCCTGGCATGGTATTGCTGGACCCACTATAATTTTCCCAGCTTCAAGTGAAGATGGTTTTCAGTTTATATTTTGAATTTAGTTTTCTTGTAGAAAAAAATTTTGTGATTAATTTTTTTTTTTTTTTTTTTAATACTGATATAGTTTATATCACCAAAATAGACCCCTTAAATCAAAAAAATACCAAGACATATGGTATTGCTTTTAGTAAACAACTATTTTTAACACCTATGATAATGTCATTGGCTTTAATTCAATGCAAGTTGCAACTCATGCGATTTTAGCAACTATTGGCCATGTCCATCCAAATTTCACTTTTATCCAACTTCATTCAAAAAGACAATTTGGACAAAGTCCAATCAAAATAGATTCTAATATACTTCTATTGAAAGTTGGAAGAAAATGTAAAGTCTTTAAAAGGAAAAAAATAAGAAACTATTTTTATTCTTATTTTTAAGTGAAGCAACCCTGTATCAACATTTTTCAATTATAACCAATATTTGTTAATATTTTCATTCCCTCCCTTTACATATATAGGATTCCATTATTGTGCTAGTTTCACTTTACTTCGGTACTGACACAAATAAGAAGAATACTTTATCAATATGTAATAAAGATATTTATTTGAACCTAAACATGAATACAACGGTTAACATAAACACAATGTCCTTTCCTATATACAGAGAATATGTCAGGTGGATTTACTCATCTGGTAGAGTGAAATAGGGCTAGATAACTGGTACCTTTAAAACCCTAGGCAACTGGTACCATTGACAGCAGAGAGAACTTCTTGCATGCTGCTTTGGAGCAGGTCCAGCCCCTTCTCTGGTGGTGGTCACCTTTTTCTAAACCCACGTGGTTTTATTAACCAATGAGAGACCACCTAACATGTGACCAATCTCCCTATATATAGAGCAAATTTTACAAACCCAGCAGATGTTCTACCTCTCACACAGTTTATTTATATATATATATATATATATATATATATATATATAAACAGTACAAATCGCCTGTGCCATACATGGTCATGTAAATTATCTAGTGCCTTAGGACTAATTAAAAATGCCTGCAGGTGAGCATGAAAAAAGTACGTATAACTGACTGAGGCACACATAAAACCGGCAGATTTTGTCTTTGGGTGGAGGAGGATTACGTAGGCAAGGAATACATTTGAATGAGCCAGCTGTGGGGTTCAAGGACAAAGATGCAGCAGTGAGGAATGTGAAACAAATTACTACAGACATATAACAAATATATTACTACAATATATTAGCAAGTTGAAAATATTTCTAACTGGGTTTGAATTTAAAGTGATTGTTAAATGTTAGGTGTGTAGAATTCTTTTCTTTCAGTTTAATTGTAAAATCATTATTTATAAAGAAATTATTTGGCTTGCATGTATTATTCAGAGGCTAAGCTTGCTCATGCAACTAGGGAATCAGACATAAGGCAAATTGGTGAAGATGCGATCTAAATGCACTCATGGAGTCATTTTTGGAACATATAAACAAGGTGGTGGTGGTAATTTTGTTTGATGGTAATGCAATTATTTATGTATGAAATTTGTTTGTTGATTATATTCATGAATTTGTTGCTTTATTTTCTCTAAAATGAATTTACTTTTCTTTTTAGAATGATGAACATCTCATCAGATATTTCCAGACGAAAAAAGTGAAATACATTTGGGACAAACAAGTATCACATTTTGTCAAGTTGAGGTCAGTTGATGTTATCATTATTACCGTGATAACCCACAGATATTTTATATATATATATATATATATATATATATATATATATAGCATAAAATATCTGTGCTAGTATATATATATATATATATATATATATATATATATAATCTGCTAATATTTTAAATTTTTAAATTTTAAATGCCAATTTCATTCATAAATTGGCTTGTTATAGTTAAGGAAAATTTTACAAATAGATGCCAACTTGTTGAAGGCCAAGTAAAATGCAAATTTAAAACACTTTTTTGCACTATATAAGAAAATATTCCTAAACAGAACTACTTTTGATATGAAAATCGAAAAAATCCTCAAATAAAAGAACAGTAATAAACTTTTTAAAAATCAATATGCAAATTAGTTAAACCTGAAGAGTGATATTGCCTAGAAGTAGATAATATATAATACAGATATTGAGCATTTAGTGTGTGAGTAGGTACACATCTACTTATCATCTCTCAGTTGCATCTCTGTCCTTGGACAGAGTGCGCTCAGGGGCTTCTCTGTCAAAGGACAGCGGGGCAACTGAGGAAATTATACTGAAGAGGTGCCCAGCCCTGGGAAACAGCTGCCCAAGGCCACGCCCTCCCATTGCACCAGAGGGATCGATGCTCGCACCGAGGCCAGTGCAACCAATGGTTGCAGGGGCAGTGGGGAATTTTTGTTCCTTGCCCGGGTACACACGCTCGGGCTCCCCACATTAAACTGATCTTGTGTCACAACCTGACCTTGTGGGGGGTTGAGTAAATATCTACTCTTTTTGAGTACGTACACCTACTTATCATCTTTCAGTTGCGTCTCTGCCCTTGGACAGAGCGCGCTAAGGGGCTTCTCTGTCAAAGGACAGAGGGGCAACTGAGAAAATTATACTGAAGAGATGCCCAGCCCTGGGGAACAGCTGCCCAAAGTCATGCCCTCCCATTGCACCAGTGGTGGGGATTGGTGCTCGCACTGAGGCCAGCACAACTGACGGTTGCAGGAGCTGAGGGGAATTTTTGTTGCTGTCCCAGGCGTATTCGCTCGGGTCCCCACCTAAAAATAGAACTTGTGTCACATCTCGTCCTAGTGGGGGAACAGAGTAAATAGCATGTGTAAATAACTCTTTGGAGTGATTTGTAACATGTTTATTTATTATCTGTCAGTTGCATCTCTGTCTTTGGGCACAATGCACTCAGGGGCTACTTTGTCAAAGGACAGAGTTGCAACTGAGGAAAATTATACTGAAAGGTGTCCAGCCCTGGGGAACAGCTGCCCGAGGCTGCACCCTCTCATTGCATCAGAGAGAGGGATCGGTGCTTACACTGAGGCCAACACAACCGATGTTTGCGAGAGCTGCAGGCAATTTTTGTTCTTAGTCCGGATGTACATGCTCGAGTCCCCACCTTAAAAAAAGACCTTGTGTGACAACTTGTCTTAGTGGGGAGACAGAGTAAATACCTAGTGTGTAAATTACTCTCTCTCTCGAATAGTTTGTAACACATTATTTATCATCTCTCAGTTGCGTCTCTGTCTTTGGGCAGAGTGCTCTCAGGGCGACTTCTTCAAAGGACAGAGTTGCAACTGAGGAAAATTATACTGAGAGGTGCCCAGCCCTGAGGAACAGTTGCCTGAGGCTGCACCCTCTCATTGTATCAGAGAGAGGGATTGGTGCTCGCAAGGCCAGTGGGGACTTGGGCAATTTTTGTTCCTAGTCTGGGTGTACACGTTTGGGGTCCCCACATTAAGCCGACCTTGTGTCACAACGTGTTTTTGTTGGGGTCAACTAAATACCAAATTACTACAAAGTAGAGCTGGGGCTTTTTAATCTCAGAATTCATGAGAGAATTGAGCTCCAATTTCACATTTATTCATATAGATTCCATAATATAGGTTTTACTTAGATATTATGTTTCTGTAACTCTTCAAATGTTGAATGTATAACTAATTCTAATTTCTATTTTCCCATTTTTATACTATAATTATTTCATCTTCTAAATTGTCCCCTGTTCTGTCACCCATGAAATAAAAATAATTGTTTGTATGGAAAATAAGTATCTACATACATCAAATCATCTTTAAATTAAGTGGCAGCAGAACAATTATTGTTGAACTTTTAAAAGGTAAGCTTAAACATTAATTCAGTACTTAAATGCAAGAATCAATTTTGTGTTCTTCTGCAGTTTATTTATGCCTATCACATCTACTCCTCCCTAGCTATTGTGATGATGGCCAAATCAAGAATCCTTCACAGGAGCTAGCTTAAATGCTTGATATTGCTTTTAACTAGTTTATAAAACATGCACTGCAATTTTGGATACGAAAGGAAAATAAGAGTTACTCTCCTTGAACAATGAAAGCAATGGTAATGGCTAGTATAATGTATTAATATATATGTTTAACTTCACATAATCTGGCAACTCTGAATCTGAGCTCAATGAAAATAGTTCCCTGCACCTAACTTTTCTTGAGCTTTTGAATGAGCTTTAAATCATTGAAATTGAACCAGTGGGAGCGGAGGAGTTGCTTGGACACACACACACATACACGGTACTTTATATATATATATATATATATATATATATATATATATATAGGATTTCTTGGCAGATCTATTATCACCATGTGGGATATTTAATAACAAAGTTGATGGAAACAAAAGTAAAAGAATCAAGATGGCGAGATTATATACCCAAAACACATTATTAAAAACCAAAACACATTAAAAAAAATTTTCTAGAATTTAGAATTCCCAGCATCCCTCACTCATTCATGAGCATATGTAGATGCATCAATGTAAAAAACTTGTCCAATGAAGTTCTAAGTGATAAAATGCATTACATGAAAACTTTTCCACTTTGTCATATATCTTTTCTCCAAAATATGTATATATAGGGGGTGCTGAAAAGTTCTTGGTGTATCACACTTTCCAAAATCTAACCACACATTTATTTTTGGAATGGCTTCTGAGAACCCAAGAACCACTCAAGGTAGCGGGTTACTGAATAGGAATGTTGTAAGGGCATATAGGGAAGGAGCAAGGGTTGCATATTATGAGGATATGTAGGATAGATAATGGTTGACCCTTAACTTGAAGAGATTAAGATTGTAGAGTCCATTCCACATTGCAACAGTTCTGAGGAAGAAGCTGTCTGAGTGAAACTTGCTTCTCACCAATGGAATATGAAGGGAATGAGGATTTGACCCAGTGTATGTGACATTGTAGTTCTTAGCTGTGAAGTCTGAACTGGTGAAAACATGGAATGTAGTTCACCTGGCCAGCCCACCTCAACTGCAATTGTATGAGAAAAGTCTCAGTGCACTTAATGAAAAGTTTAGCATTTAATATTTTGTCTCCAAGATTGTGTCCACAGATTGTTTGAAGGCATCCTTTTGTGGAAAATATCAAGCTCATTAATGTGATTAATATGGTGTCCAAGATTCTGACATACAAGAGACTGGAGAGAATGACTGCTTTATATATTTGGATTTTTGTGCCTAGGTTTATACCCATCTTATTCCAGAGACAATGATAGATTTTACCAAATGAATTGGTAACTTTGGTTATTTGATTTGATTGAAACTTTCCCCAGCTTTGCACCACAAATTACATTCTAGCCTGTTTTACATTTGAGGTAGTTTAATATTTTCCACTGGTGGTAGTTGGTGTTCAAGCCCATGTAAAATTCTTGAATTTTGAATGCTGATTTTCAAGGCTGGTAATATGGTAATGAATAGTTAAGAGGATGCTTTAATAAGTATATGACCATATTTATATTAATATATAATAAAACAGTCTAATTATACGGTTAGCAAACTCTGTGTCAGCATTTATTTTTATCTAATAATATTCCTTCTTTTTTTACAGAGGTCTTGATGTTGGTATGGGCTTTAGTTTTTTTCATGAAGCTAAAGGTTTGCATTCTGAAGAAGTCATTCAAAAGTAAGTAAATATTATTAAATTAATTATATCTCTTTCTCTCACAAACATTTCTATCTTGGTTTTGAGAAACTCATTTTGTATAAAAAAAAACAAAAACAAACTAGAATTAAAATCCAAACAATAGTGATTATGGCATCCCACTTTTAATAACATTGTTTTTTATCCATTTACATAAATAAAATGTTGACAATTTTAAATAATTCCTTTAGTGCGTGATTATTTCAGCAACTCAAATTATAAAAGTGCCTGAAAATTTCTAATCATTCTTCTTTTGTGCCATGTCCCTTCAGGACATAGACGATTATAGCTCTCTACAATTTCATGCCCTTTGTAGCTTTTAGCTATACTTGCTTTTTTACTATTTTTCTCACTCTTTGATCTAAACAAGCTTATTAGAGAGCTTACTTGTTTTTTCCCACTGCCCCTCTTGCCTTTATTATGTCCTGTGAGTGTCAAATTCTCCAATCTCTTTTTCCTTATATATCACAGAAATTTCAACTGTCTCTTTCTGATTTTAAGTAGAAGTGTCCTTTTTGTTTCTATTTCCCTTAAAACTTCCTTGTTGCTCACACACTCCATCCACAGTATTCTCAGCATCCTTATGTTGAATCACATCTCTGTTACCTTCATCTGTTCATGATAGATTTTCTTTGTGTCATGTTGCACAAGCAAAGCCAAATATAGCTAGTATTTAAGATACATGAATTCGAATGGAAAGTCTGTTGGAAATATAAATACCCAGATAACCTGAGCATGAATATTTGTTCTTTTTGCCTACCTTACTTAAGACAGTTGCCATGATAACATGTAGAAAAAGCTGCTTGACAGTTAGACAAGTGTTATTGCACAACTGTCCCAATTGTTAGTTGAAGTCTGTTATAAGGAATATCAGGCAAATGAGGAAATCAGTCAGATTCTGAATAGAATCTGAAGTGCTTGGAACTGTACCAATTGACAGTTGAATATTTTTGGGAATTTGCTGCAACAGCTTTAAGTTTATTTCTTCAATTGTATCATTCTTTGGAGCAAGAATGTCTCACAAAATAACTCATATTTTCTTTAATTTTGACCATTTTCTTCATTTAAAACAACTGAAAAGATCAAGTAAAATCTTGAAAATTTTAGGATTTTTGTCTGAAAATATTTTACTTGGCTGTATAATATTTTTTATAAATGAAAGAGAAAAAACAAGTTTTTGAACTCTTTCATATGACTGAAAAAGAAGCTATTTTAATCTTGAGTTGACTTTGGAGTTTTTTGTTCAAGTTACTTTCATATAACCAATTTACCTGCAAGAATGTAATTGTTTGGCTGTGATATAGATCATAAAAAGTTACAAACTAATTTAACCTCCAGTGACTTTTAGTGACCTCAGAGGTAGGATGTGACTTTATCATCTCTAACATTTGTTGTACTTAATAGTAAGCTCAACATTTCAGTTTATTTAGAAATTACTGTATATTTCTACATATAAGATGACCTTTAAATCCCAAAAGTCAGCCTTAAAAATTGGGGGTTGTCTTATACTACAATTCTAAAAAAAAACCTTAAATTCCAAGTGATGTTTGTGGGTAGGTTAACCTCAGCCTCGGTGCAATAACCAATAATGTACATGAAAAGATTCACATTATCAAATAAACTGATAATAAAAGTAATAAAACCATTTCTACCTTATATATTACTGGCATAACTTCATAATAAATTGCATATTAAAAGAATAATTCTATATCAATGAAATCAACTTGTATCTATGCAAGCTCAGCTGAGAAAATGTAAACATCGTGTTATGACTACATTCACAGCAACCTTTACCTTTCGCTAAACTTTCAATAATCATCATGGTAGTGTTAATACAGTTATTAGTAGTATTTTATGATTGTCGATGAAGTATAAGTAAATGGCCATTAGTACACCAGACAGTTTAAATATAGGTAAAGTAAAGGATGAAGAAGAATCAGTATTCACAAGAGATCATGTGATAAAATGTAAACAAACAGGTATAGGATAAATTCATGAAAATTTGCTATATTTTTTACCTCACTTATCTAAAGGTTGCCTTATCCATGGAAATATACAGTACTTCATCTGGATAGAAATTGTATGCTCAGCTTTCTGATGGCATCTGGTGACATTGAATGACCTCCAAGGTTACCGTCACTTAGCCTGTTATTATTTGAGTTCTTGTGACTATGCAAAATAACTGGATCCCTCTGACTTTCTGCTGAGATGTAATGACTGAATTGCTTCTTTTACTTTGGCGCCATCAGCAACTTGTTCAGATTCCAATGAATTAATGACTCAATAAATTATTCTTTATGTAGATTTTCATTTTAAAAATTGCAGGGCATAAGTATTTTTTTTTCATTTTTAGTTTGAAACTTAGTGACCTCACAATGATTTCAGATGAAAATACGATATTTAAAGTTAATCAATATTTGCTTGACAAATGAGGAAATATTGAATATTATAAACAAATATTTCAATTTTATTTACTATTGTTTTGAAGATTGTCAGCAACATGAAAATATTAAGTAAACTTTTTATTTGTTAAGCAAATACTGAGTACATATGTTTTTCAGAGTTACTTTCACCTTTTAAACAAAAGATTATTTTGTTCCTTTATCAAAAGCGATCATACAAAGCAAAGACAAATTTTGGTGTAAACATTTACAAAATCCTTGTACGTAAAGTTCTTTTTTCATTTGTTCTCTTCATTTCAAAACTTGGAGCTTGAAAGTTGTTAACTTTTCAACAATATAAAAATGCCCAAAGCATACAGCTAAAGTAGTAAATGTCCAAATACCACTTTTCTCCCCACTCCCAACAGATGTGTATTGATAGTTAAGCAAAAGTTTCTTCTATTCCTCCATCAGCCTTTTTTTAATTGAAAAAATTGACTCAAATACATCATACAGAGGAAAGGCAACTTTTGGTGTAAACATTTAACAAAATCTTTGAACACAGTCTTTTTCTCCATTGTTCAAGAAAAAAATATCTAAAAAAAATTAACTTGCTTTTAAATTAATGAAATTGATATAAAGTTAACGAAATAACTTACTTGATAAACAAACAATTAGTTTTTTTTATATTCAATAGATGACATGAATAGAGATAGAAATATTTATCAAAGAATGGAATTCTGTTTGTTTCTTCATCAAAGTTTGATAAACAACAGATTTTTTTCTTTAATTTCTAGTTATACTATTTTAACATAGTTGGCAATGTATTTATGCATAAAAAGGAAGATGGAGAAAATAGTGTAATCATAAAATTAATCAGTTCTGTAGACTTGTGGAAGTTACAGGGTTTGTGTGTATTTTAGGTGAAGATACATGTTCAATATGTAAAGAAAGAAAATAGAAACATGTAAAAACATGAGTTTCTGTTATGGACATTTCTTTTATGTTGACTGTATTGAAATGTCTTTTGAGTATGTCTGTTTTTCTTTTTGGTTCTGAAATAGGTGATGGGAAGTAAAGATAAGATCTGATAAAGATGGTTGAGCTCAAGTTAGCCTTGTGCTGAATTGGGATGACCAAATCACTACTTCATGAGAAGGTTTATCAAAACACGTCTAAACAATCTTATTGGAAATGTGGAAAGGGAAAAATTGTTCTTTCTGGAAGTGGGGTCATAAAATCAAGCATGTGGCCAGAAACCATTTCTGGTTTCTTTATAATTTGCATCATGGGAAAATTAATTTTGTTTTTCTTTTTTTTTTATTCTTTATTATTTATTTCATTCTCCCTCACAGACTCTTTAGGTGATGAGGTGAATAAAAATGGAAATATGTATCAACTAGTTTCTTTTTTCCATCTGAATTTCTGTGATGGGGATTTATCATTATTTACACTATTTACATTTGGACTCTTCTCTTGTTTATTGTTAATTACTAATAAATGTTTTAATTTTATTTGACTTTGAACCTTGTTTTTTTTTGTTTTTTTTTTTTTTAAAGAGGAACTCATCAGATGAGGTGAATAAAAATGGAAAATATTTAATAACTAAAGTTTCTTCTTTATTTACACTATTTACATATGGACTATTGTCCTCATCTTTGTTGTTGTACTTTCAAATAACACCAGTGATGATGAGGACTAGTTTGCATATAAATAGTTTAAATAATGATAACTCCTCATAATTCAGACAGAAAGTTTCTTTGTTCATCAAACTTTAATTACCAATAAATATTTTAATTTTATTTGATTTTGATCCTTTGTTTTTTTTGGGGGGTGGGTTTACTCATTTGTAAAAATTTATTTTTTTTATTACTTTGTATACACATTTTTAGTGATTTAGAAATATTTTATAAATATATATATATATATATATATATATTTTTTTTTTTTTTAGGCGAGTTCTGTATGGAAACAACCACATTGCTATTCATGTAACACCCATTATAACTCTTTTGTTCAAGGAGGTAAGTATTCCTTATATAGATGACTAAATATACAACAGAATTAAAGTGTTTGAGTTGCATAATGGTTATTAGTGTAGAAAATGGAATCAGAATCCTGAGGTCAAATGTTGGCCTTGTCTGTTGTGCTTACTTTTCCACTAATAACCTTTGGAAAGGTATGAATCCATTTTTCTCTCTTTAGCTATAAGTTAAAGAGCAGGGTAGACTAGGCTCTCTAGCCTTGGATGGCAGCTATTCTAGATGAAGAAGTTTGAATTCAAAACAATGAAGAAGACAACAGAAAACTACTCCACTATCTTTCCCATGAATAATATACAGATAAAGAAAAGGAATTTGTGGACATAATGTTAAAAAAAAGAGGATTAAATTTCTAAAAATGCTAAATTACACAACATAAATAAAACTGCTGTTTTTAGTTATTCTTGAGAAAAATGAAATTGTTTCAAAGTCATGAAAACCTGAAATTTGATCTCTTAAATTCCAACTTTGGGAATTGATATCTTTATTTTGCACAGCTACAAAATGCAAAATACAATTCTTTTTCATGTAAGTTTTAGGAAAAACATTCTTGAATCTATTGGAAGTTGCTGCAGGATTTATGGTGTATCCTTAATTTTACCTCTATTAATATAATGAGGATCTGCTTCTGGAAGGATGGATTACCAGTCACCAAGCTAAAATTATTGCTATACACTGGCTGAATATGAACATATTATGAAATCACTAAAATTTAAATATTTGAGATGTACCTTTAAAGAATAAAATTTCAAAATTATTACTGCAAACCCTTATATGTAGCTCATTAATAAATCTTTTCATTGGTACCAACAATTTTAATGGCATTTCCTAACAGACTGACCAAGAAATGTAAGAAATTGAGATTTCCCAATACTCAATGAATTCCATTCCTTTTGTAACTAAAAATGACTTCAGCTAGTCTCACATTTAAACAGACTTATTAATCTGAAGAAATCTATTTGGTCATATATTTAAAACACTTTTTAACTGAATATTTATGTTAAAATCCTGAAAATCTGAATTGGGCTCTCAATTTAGGGTCATCTTTAGCTGTGGGAAAAAAACATCTTTTTAACAAATTTTTATTGTTAAACATTTTTTTTTACCCTAATTGTTTGCCCAATAAAAGAGCTACTCAAGATAGAGGGTTATGGAATGTTTATTGTATGCGTTCAAGAAAAGGAAGTATGAAGAACAGATCATGAGGATATGTAGGAAAGATAATGGTTGATTCTAGACTTGCAGAGGTTAAGATTGTAGTGATTAGAGAATCATCCTCTTGGGAGTCTTTCCCACAAAGCAGCAGCACTTATGAAAAAAGCTATCCAAATGGAACTTCCTTCTTACTTAAGGAATGCAGAGAGAATGATGATGAATCATCCCAGTGTACATGGCACGATGGTTCCTAGCTGTGAAGGTCTGAACTGGTGAAATTAAGGAAAGCAACTCTTTTCCATGGAAATAGCAATAGAGTAGCAAGTTGCTTGTAATGTTTCATATATGGGAAAGAGGTAGAGTAAAAAAACAATTTATCATCCATAAGGCCATGTAGATGTTTTTGTACTCTGTCAAAGTTGTAAAGGAAAGACTGTGCAGTTACAGCCTAGATATGGTAGCAGTATTCCATTTTTGTTCTGAATCTGACTCTTTCAGGGGTCAGGTACTTTCTTAAACAGTACAAGGAATCAATTATTTTTCCAGCATCTTTAGTGAGATATATATTGTTATAATTGTGGAATATTCAGTAAAAAATAAACTGTCAATGGTTTGTGAGTTATTCCAAATGAATCCATTTTAACTCTCAAACTTTGTTCTTTTTACTCTCTCTTTTCCAAATGCTCATTTTGGGAATATCATTCTGTATTGGAGAAATGGATTACAGTAATTTGTCTATCATATATCATCATTCTTATCAATTGTGGGGAAAATTGTGAAAATGGCTTACCTCGGAAACGCGTTCGAATCTGCGCAGTTTGCAAACTCTGGTCCTTCCAACGGCAAAAGAAACCAAAATGGTTGACCTAGAAGAGATCAAGGACGCCCTGTATATGGCCTTTGGAATAGACCCATTCATCGCTTGGAAACAGTTCATCGGATGACGGCTCGAGCCGGGTGAGACCGTGGATGTTTACCTGGCTGATTTGCAAAGGCTGGCAGTACCGTTTGGCGGAGCAACAGACCGCATACTGGGGTGCGCCTTCCTGGCAGGGCTTCCCGACGACACCAGTTGGCTCCTGCGAGCGTCTTCAAGATTGGACACACTGGAATTGACGAATTGCTAGCCAGGGCCGAAACATCTTGAAGGACACGGAACAGGTCGCAGCAGCGTGAAACGCCTGAGACACCGTGGGAGGGCCCGGCGCTACAAGTGCAGTGGACCCAACCATTTCTCTAGGGACTGCGGGAGGCGAAGTGACGAGGAGGCGGGGAGCAGCAGATGGAACCCGGGCGACTACGCTGCTATCGCTGCAAAAGAGTTAGGCCATGTAGCACAGGATTGCTCGAAACGAGTCCGGACAAGGTGCTGTTGCAACCCTTGCCCCTCTCGGTCAGTAAATGCGTATTGCCTGTTGTCAACATGTACATTGAGGGTAAACAATGTTAAAACCGTTGACACTGGATGTTCCTGATCGATCGTTAGTGCGGATCGATGCGTGACATGGAACAGTCAACAAATCGAGATTTGGACGATTGACAAGGTGTCCCTGGCCTGCTGTGGTGTCGGGACTGTATCAGTCCTAACAGACAGAGGGAATCATGCCAAAGTCGACGTCTTGGTGGCACGTCAAAGGCCATCGGGTACGACCTGCTACTTGGGATTGATGTGATCCGAGCGTTAGGAGGCATGATGATCACGCCAGCCGGAAATGTGGAACTGGGTGAAAGAAGAAAGGTGTGTGCAGCCCTTTGCATTAGTGAGCCGGATTTCGACGTCTCTTTCAATTCCGACGAGAGGGTGTGGACCGCCAGGTGGAAATGGGCCCAAAAAGACCCACCAGTTCAGCCGCAACAAGGTCGCAGAGTACAAAGTTCCCCGACAGCATCAGAGGAAAATACGAGAAAGAGCTACAGCAGTGGATTGTGAACGGCTGGCTGATTCCGTAGCCCCAGGAAAGACTGGGACCCCCAAAGGGTCTGATTCCCTTGATGGCAGTCGCAGGAGCAGAAACAGAAGGTGCGTCCGGTACTCGATTACCACGAATTGAACGACTTTGTGGATGCTTTCACTGCCGATGCAGAGGTGTGCGCATAAGTTGAGAACGCGGCAGCGGCAGGGGTCAATGTGTTGCTTTTGGATCCTGCGGAACGCGATATCTTCAGATTCACATCGATGAGCGCTGTGGCCATTTCAAATGGTTATTTTCAAAGGCCAACGCTTCTGTCTTATGCGCTAGGATTTGGGCTAAATGTAGTGCCACTCATCATGAAATCCGTTATAGACGCCATCGCATCGCAAGACCGCACAATTGAAAGTGCCACATCAGCATACGTTGATGATATCTTCATTAATGAAAGTTTGGCCTCTGCATCGCGTGTAAGACAACACTTTTCGGATTACGGTTTGGTGTGCAAGGATCCGGTCGTAATTGAGAGATGGAGCAAGAGTTCTTGGCTTGCAGGTCTGGGAAGAAAATGGCACCCTCCGATGGAAACGAGGAAGTCAAATTCGAAGCCCTGATGTGTTGACCCGCGATTTTCATTGTGTGGAAACTTGTTGGACACTTCCCAGTGTGTGGATGGCTCAGGGTGGCAGTTGCATTCGTCAAGCGCCTGGCAACCACAGCAACCAATGGATGGGATGAACATCAAAGATCCCTCTCTCTGTCGATACTAGCAGAGATGTTAAGTAGAGTGGGAACTGGATCCCGCTGAGGAGACTGGTGCATGAGTGGTGACGAGATCACAGTCTGGGTGGATGCGAGTTCCGTGGCGACAGGAGTGGCATTGAAGTAAGCAGAAATGTCATCAAAGATGCGTGCTGGCTGCGGTCCGACTAATGATGCCAGGCATATTAATTTGGCTCAATGCGCACTTAAAGGAAAGTGAATCTAGCTTCCAGTGGGAGGCGACAACGTTGCACTTGGTTACTGATTCGGCGTGTGTGCACCGGGTGGTTTCAGACACCTTGACCGGAAGGCACGGGTGAACACAAGGGTGGCTGGCGAGATGCTGGTGAGGCACGGCTGGGCATTTTACGATCGCTGGTGGAAGAATATGGATTGACCGTAGACGTGACACTCATGCAGTCCTGTCAGAACCGTGCGGATTGCCTCGCCAGAGTACCGCTGGGTGGCTAGAACTGCTCAAGAGAGGAGAACCGGCACTTTAGAGCTGTGCAGTGGCAGGGAGACGACTGGATGAGTACCAGGTTGCCAATACGCATCACAATGCGGACATCCGGGCGTGAAACGAACTCTGTGCTTCGCCAGGTTAGTCGACCGCATGTGTCCAGAGAAAGCGTTAAATCCATTGTGAAGGCCTGCACAACCTGTCAGTCGATCGATCTGGCACCCGTTCACTAGGAAAGAGGAGAACTGAGTGTGAAGAGCAACTGGAGCAGACTGGCAATGGATATAACTCACTACAATGGTGAGAATTTTTTAACACTCATTGATTGCGGTCCCTCCAGGTTTGCGGTATGGCGGCCGCTGCGCAGACAAGATGTGAGCACCGTCATTCGACTGTTGGAGAATGTTTTCCTGGAGCGAGGCCCACCCGTGGAAATACTGACGGACAACGATGCTGCATTCACCAGTAAAGATTTTAAAGAATTTGCGGACAATTGGGACGTGCATCTGCGGTTTCGATGTGCCTACTCGCCAAGTGGAAACGGCATCGTGGAGCGGAACCACAGAACCATCAAGACCATCACAGCCAGGAAGGGCTGTACATTATCGGAGGCGGTTTACTGGTATAATGTTGCCCCGAAAGATAACATTTCACCATCCACGGCGCCGGCTGATGCACTGCACGAATATCATGTCCGTGTGAAAGGCCGAAGCCAACCCGCTGCCTGAACTAGAAGTGACTGGAGGAGATTGAAAAAGGAGACGTTGTTTGGGTCAAAACACACGCTGCAAGTGTACGACAAAATACGGCACTGGACGTTCTTACGGAGGTGATCAGCCCGCAATCTGTGAGAGTTGATGGGTGCCTCGTCACATTAAAGACTTTGCGACCGGGTGATGCAATCACTACCAAGCACTGAGCGATGAAAGCAATTCCAGTCTGGGAGTAGTGAGCGTTCAATCTGCCTTTGAGTTAGACCTGCAGGGCAGTGATTCTGATAACAGCAGCCTCCCGGCGGACACACAGTGTTTACTGACACTCAAACCACAGACGAGAACACGCACAAGGATGAAGCTTGTGTTATCCCCCTTCAGAGGGGGACTCGACGGCGACGATCACCACCTCCTTGCCCTCTTTGTGATCATGAGATCAGGGGGGAGTGTGGGGAAAATTGTGAAAATGGCTTACCTCAGAAACGTGTTCGAATCTGCGCAGTATGTAAACTCTGGTCCTTCCAACGGCAAAGAAACCAAAATGGCGGCGCCATATTTTATGCCGGGCGGTCTCGTTAGTTAACGCGAAATCTCGTTGTCTCGCCATTCGCATGCAAATCGTGGTCGGTCCGCCGCTGTATAAAGCAGGCTCGTTTTGCTGTTTCAATCAGAGAGCTTTCCCGTGGAGAAGGTTGGACGGCGACAATCGGTTTTCTTTGTTCCTACCTGCTATCATCAGTTGAGTTGTTGTGTTACCTACCACATCAATCCCATGAACAGGTGTGGTCATAGTGTCTTGATGCAGCTGAAAAACTGACCAGCTCCCTTTATATGTCTCAGTTGTGTGCCAATCTCTGAGTCTTTGTGAATGATTTTTCAGTCCACTCAGTGATATTGTCAGCCCATTTTTTCTTCTAATTGCCTCCTTTTCTTTTCCCTGAGTTGATACTTTGTAGTACTTGAATATATACATATATGCTTGAATATATACATATATGCTTGAATATATACATATTATGTGTATATAGACTGAGGCAAAAATAATAAAACAGTTGATAGTACAAGACAAAACATTTTTATATATTAGTAAAATATTATTATATTTCATTTTTTTTATATCATCCTTTTGGGTTATGTAAAAAGATATGTTACTCAATAAATAAAATATATCTTTAAGTGATATAAGGCAAAGGGTCAGCATTTTGAACTAAAGCTGAAATTGAATTTTTTTTCTGTTTTTATTTTATTTTCAAATTTCTTTTTATTATTTTTACATGTCGTTTGATGTAAATCTGAAATGATAAATTCTTATTGCTTTTTTATGCTTACCACTTTTTATGTTATTAATGTTTCTATTGACTTTATTCTTATATTTTATCTGTTATTTTGAAAGAAAATGATACTTATCTTTTTATTTTTTTTTTCAGATCTTAAGTCCATTTTATGTATTTCAAGTATTCAGTGTAATTCTTTGGTTTTGTGACGCCTATGAACTCTACGCCAGCTGCATTCTTTTCATTTCTGTTCTCTCAATTGTCACCACAATTTATCAGACACGACAGGTAAAACATACAAACTGTTTATTTTTTTATAGTAGATTTATAGTTTACTAATGCAGATTGTGAATTGAATTTTCTCTGAATGTATTAGGATTATTCAAATATGATGAAACTAGAATATTTGTGAATAGAAGTTCTTTTTAATTTAACTTCAATTCATCGTTATAAAAAAAATGAATGCAATTTACAGCAGATTCTTTAAAAAATAATTAAGTAAATGGAGAATAAAGAGACAACAATAAATAATAAAAAAATTGTACTTACCATTTCTTTTTCTGTTAATCACATCTTTTAGCTGATATATTCTTTGGTCATTAGTTTAAATTATGGGAATTTGAATGAAAAAATTTAACAGCTAAATAATAGATTCAGTTTCAGTTAAGTTTATTCAGTTAATGCATTTTGCGCTCTCCCTATTTTGGTTGTAATTGTGGTTCATGATGATATTAAAGGCAAAATAGTGCAATGGTTTGCCAGTTCCATTTGCACTGGGGATGTTGAGGTTACCCCCATCTCTCCTCTCAAAAGTTCCTCCACCTACTGGTAAAGTCATTGTCCTCTGAGGTGCAACACTTATGCCCAGGCTGGTGACTGACTGATGACTGCTTAGCACAGGTGCATTGGGGAGAAGTGTTCCCCTTCACCAGTTGGGTCGGAAAACCCTTTCAACTACCCTCACACAGTCTAGCCAACAGGTCAATGTATTGACTGAAGTGTGGCCATCACAGTGCCCCCTGCAACTTCTTGAAGCCATATGGATATAGGCTGTTTACTAATAATGGATTAACTCATTGATTTTACTACAAACTGAAATTATAATCAGGGTCTCAAATAAAATCTTCTTAAAGAACAAATATGACTTTTCTTTATAACAATTTATGATTGATCACTGAATGCATCTGCTTTGCAAGTACATTAATGCTTCAATTTATATAGACCTCAGCTTACATTCAAAATCAGAATCACAGACCTTGTAATCCATTCAAATCATAAGTACACCACATGCATTGCAGCTATAGCAAACAGCCTTAGAGAGCCCCTCCATCTTAAAGCTGGCTTTGAAATCAGAGTTATCCTTCTCCTAGATTGTTGCTTTACCAAGGCTAAAGAACTCTGTTCACTCTGCTAGACAAAAGAGATATAGTCATGCCTTTCTTGAGGGTATGTGTGAAAGTGAATTTGAACATGACACACTTATGTCTCTTTCTGCCTTAATAATCACTACCTTACATTAGTATTTCAAGAGTGTACAATATAGATAACAAAATAAATCTGGTAAATGAAGAAAATGTTTAAATCAGTCTGAATCTATGACCAAATTATATACAACCATAAAACTATGATATTGCTAAAAGCATTTGGCATTAAAATCTGCAAGGAATCATGATTATGAGAATGACATTTGGAAGTGACATAAAAATTTGCTTAATTCTTTATAAATCCTGAAAATATTTGACTTGTGCAATGAAAAAAATTTTTCTTGTGCAATGAAAAAATATATAAAGTTCTATCAAGAAAATGTGTCATTTTTTGTTTTTTCTTGTAGATTCAAAGAGCACTGCGAAACACTATTCATGCAACAGAAGTGGTCAGGGTGTGTAGAGATGATGGTAAGTAAATGTAAATAAACTGCCATTTGGTTTGTACCAATGAACAAACATACTTCAAATGTAGCCATTCTTATATGAAACATTCTTCTTTAATTATGTAAAACACAAACATCCAAATAGGATGAACTGGCACTACTTAAATAACATAGGTAATAATCATAGCTGCCTTTTTTTTTTCATTTTGAAAAACAGATACAGGAACCATATCCAGCTCAGAAAATAAACAAGTGAAATGTATAAGTAAATGACATAGATTTCTTTTTAGTTGTGTTTAACAGAAACCTACAGCTATTTAGTATAAAACAAAATGTGTCAAAACAACTTAGTTATTTAGACAACTGTTAAAAGAAATTACCTTGATAGTCTGAAGTGAATCAACATTGTCATTAGATATCAGTTTGGAATTTAACTTAAAAAATATTGCAATCTATGTAATTCTCTTAATTTACATATTCAAAAGATTTAGTCACTCAAATAACAAGCAAGAATTATCACCTTACCAATTCTAACATTATCCACTGTAAGAAAATATTACATAAATATATTATTTATCATCAATTCCAGTAAACGGCACATGTCTACCAGCTTCCTTGTTAACTCTTGTGCAATTGGAAAGTTAATATTTTCAAACTTATTAATGGAAATTGATATTATTCAGCTAAATTACAAAAACTTCTCTAAAATATTTTTTCAAAAGACATAATTCATAAATAAAAGAAATAGGAAAATGAAAACAAAAAAATCCTCAAAAGTAATAAAAATAGTCTTGTCTTTGGGCAAATCATTGTTTGCTTGCATTAATATTTGTATTCCTACAATATTATCTACTGAAGAATTTGGAGTGCATCTGTTTTTGTAGTTTGTAAGAAAGGAAGTTTTTTTTAATATAATTCTTTTATTAATGGAGAAGGTTGTGTTCATCAGTCCAGAAATAAATGAATTTCTGTGTTGTCTGAACACTACAAATATGTTCCAGTAAATGGTTAGTTTTACTACTTGGGTAGATCTTTTCTTATATTCTTTATTATTAGGATACTTGCTTATTTGTAAAATAAATAAATTTGTAAAAATTACTCAAAAGTAACATTAGTGCTGGCGATCAGTGTCAAGAGGTTTTCATTTGGCAAGAACTAAAAAGCAAATCATTCAGACTAAATCTCTTTTTGAAGCTTGGACATTTTATAAAATAAAAGTTGTTAATTTTTTTTGTAATTTAATACTATTCTATTGAACCATCTTTTTATATAGAATTGATTAATGTAAAGTTTTGTTAAAAAATAAATGGTGACATTGGGAAAAACAATAAAAGAATAAAAAGAAATCTTATTTCAATCAATTCTTTTCGGTTAAGAGATAAATTTTAAATTGATACAGAATTCAAATACAAAATATTTAACAGCTACATGAATATAAATAAATACACACACAATGATATGCATACACATACTATGATTATTAATGGTCATTACACTTTGAAAATATTGTCTGTAATTTGAACATAAAAACATTTTTGTTTTTTATCTTTCAAAGAAATATTTCACTTGCTCGTTTTTTTTTCTTTTTATTAAACATTTAACAAGTATATTTTTATTCACTGGTGTATAAAATTTTATTTTTATGAAGGATGGAAAAATAGCGTTTGAATTTTTTAACTATTTTCATCATAGATTTTCTTTGGCTAAAAATATAGTGAAAATCTGCAAACAATAATTCAATGTCTATTTGCTTTTGCTTCATCAACACCCTGTCCAACAACAACAACAAAAAAAAAAAAAAAAACAGGCTGAAGAAAAAAGATCTTATTCAACACTTGCTTCTATGTTTTGAGAAGTACCCTAATTCCTGTGGATGAATGTCCTTCTGGGGGGAATGGAATCATATTGTCTTTAAAGGAAGAGAACAGTTTATGTAATAATCAATGTTTACAAAATATCATTAGTGAAAAATTTGAATGGAAAAATATTTGTGTATTTTGTGGCTGAAGATGAATAACAGAGAAAGTTTTTTTTTGTTGTCAAAAAACGAGTCACAAACACAAGTAGAATGAAACGAACAGCAAACAAAAAAAATTCTAGGACTTATCATTGTTACAAAAACATTAAGGATGTCTAGAAGAAAGTCATTAAAATTATATATTTTATATTATAAATTATTAGAGGTTTTTGATGGAATTATATAACCCAAAATTAAAACAAAAGATTTTGGTTAAAAATATCTGAATATTATTCGTGTTTAAGAATGTATTATTTTAATAGCATTTTAATATTTTCCATTTTCTTATCTCAAAAACTTTTCATTTTTTATCATAAAACCTTTCTAGTGGTTAAATTTATTTTTTATTCCGTTATATATATATATATATATATATATATATATATATATATATATATATATATATAAAATGAAGATTGCATTCAAGCATGAAAAGACTGTCACCACTCAGCATTGACCTCAGTGTCCTTTTTATATTTATATATGCTCTCTCTCCTTGATAGCCCTAAAAATATAGCATACCTTAAAACTATATTTTTATCATATTATTTAAAGTTTGGCCTGAAAGAAATACTTGTCAGGTCATAATGCTTTTATTAACAACATTAGAAATATACCACTAAATTTGTTTTGAGTAACACATGATAGTATTTAATTTGAGCCATCTTTGAATCCATCTGTCAAATCTACTATGGAAAACTTTCTGGTACTCTATGGTCCAGCATTAGTCTTTCACTGTGCAGTTTGTTTTCAATACTGGCTTTACTTTCTTTAAACATTTTTCACTTGTCTCCACACATTTTACTCATGTTACCTTGCCATACATATTTCTGAGCTTTCTGTGGATGATGGCAACAGTACATCCATTTTTGATCAAGAACTCTATATCTTCTCTTGGTTTCCACTACATATCCATTGTTATATGTTGAAAAATGGGTCAAAGTAGAAAATCTTTGTAATACCAATGTATTTTATTTACATTTGGTAGATATCTTCAGATCAGAATGAAAGACAAACCCATTTATATTAAAATCGTTAATATCTGTTTTCTAAGTTGGTGCCTTATGGTCACAATGAAAGAACAAAACTTTACATTTTCATGCATATTAAAACTGCCAATCTCTGCTGGACTCAAAACTAGTCCACTATGAGCAGATGCTACCAAACAGGCCCTAAAATCTTTTATACAAAAAAAAAAATCAAAAAAAAAAAACATATTTGTCTTTCATTCTGACATGCAAGATGTTTTACCAAACTACCTAATGTAGGTGAAATGTATTGTCAGTAAAAGATTTTCCGCTGTCTCATATCACCACTTTTGTTTGGATTTCATATCCTACAAATGTGCATTGTTATATGTGTAAAAGTATTATACTTAAATAGTTTCAGACAAAATGGTAACCAGGCATTTTATATAAATATATATGTGTGTATGTATACATACATGTGGATGACATTTTATCTATTGAAATAAAAGAGTTGCTATTGAAAGAATTGATATAATAGATATTATTAAATAGTTCTTGAGGTTGTTACTCTCATTTCTGCTATAACTGATGAAACCTGTTAGTCTGTTTTTTTTTATAATTTATCTATTTACAAAGAAATTCTATTCCTCTTCAAAAAATTATAATCTTTTCTTAGAAAATTGTCCATATATTTTGTGTTCCTTTTCTCTGTCTCTTTGTCTCTTGCTGGAAATTGTATATTCCATTGTTATGTTATCACTTTTCAAAACACTGACTTTTTAAGTTGATAAACTGAGGAATCAATTGGTTGAGTTGTCTAATTGTTTATCAGCTTGAGTAACTATTAAAAAATATTTTTATAAGGTTTGCCAATTTCTGAAGAAGAAAAAATATAAAATGAGTATTTTAGGGTCAAAGAAATCACTAATTACCAAATTTTTGTGATAGCTTGTTTTTTGATATTCATTTGTCTGGAAGACTACATAGCGTCTGTATTGAATAGGATTAAAAAAGACTACATAGCATTTGTATTGAATAGGATTAAAAAAAAAGACTACATAGCTTTTGTATTGAATAGGATTAAAAAAAAGACTACATAGCATTTGTATTGAATCGGATTAAAAAAAGACTACATAGCATTTGTATTGAATAGGATTAAAAAAAGACTACGTAGCATCTGTATTGAATAGGATTAAAAAAAAGACTACATAGCATTTGTATTGAATAGGATTAAAAAAAGACTACATAGCATTTGTATTGAATAGAATTGAAAAAGGGCTACATAGCATTTGTATTGAATAGGATTAAAAAAAAAGACTACATAGCATTTGTATTGAATAGGATTAAAAAAAAAGACTACATAGCATTTGTATTGAATAGGATTACAAAAAAAGACTACATAGCATCTCTATTGAATAGGATTAAAAAAATGACTACATAGCATTTGTATTGAATAGGATTTAAAAAAAGACTACATAGCATCTCTATTGAATAGGAAATGAACAGTTTTATAAAATAGATAATTCAAATAAAAAACTAAATATGGTATGGGCGTAATGAATCCCAAAAAATCTAAACAGAAACAGTTTTTTTTTTCTTGTTCTCAAAGAATACTCAACATCATAACTAATATTGCAACTGGTGCTATTATTATTACCATTCCGTTCTTTGTTGGGACTGAAAACCTTCTCACCAGAATTCCACTGAAATCCACAGGAAGATTCCGAACTTGCAGGTCCGAGCTCATCCCCCAGGGATGAGTCACCTGGGTATGGAAGCGCGGTGGGGTTCTCGATATGTGTCTGTCAGTCGAGAGCCTGGCTGGCGACTAAGCAAGTCGGGACCCAGTGCCCAGGGGTATAACTTGGCACATTATAATTTATAACAGGCTCAGAAATACTTGCCACACACCCAAAAAAATAAAAAAAAATAAGAAAAATGTAAATTTAAAGTAGGATTATTTTTACTATGAAATAATTGTTGATTCATTCATTAAAATTATCATCAAAAGAAATATTTGACCCAAAATATTTTAAAAGA